AGCAGCAACCCATATAATCCCAGTAATTTAGGTTGTACAAAAGGAAAATGAATCACTCAAAATGGGAGGAGTATTACAAGCAGTAAATCTGTGTGCTAAATATGTGCTCGTAAATCTTTCCATAAGTGTGTGCTAAATCTGTGCTCTATCATACCCCCGCAAGCGTGAGGGTCCGGGAAGGACACTAAGCTTGGAACGATGAAGAAGGAACTGTGTCCGAGCCAGTGGTTTGGTAAGGGAGTCACCAAGTTGGTCTGCTGTGTGAACATGGGAAATGCAAAGCAACTTACGAGAGACTTGATCACGGACAAAGTGAAAGTCGATGGCAATGTGCTTCATACGGGAATGGAAGACAGGATTGGAGCATAAGTAAGTGGCTCCAACATTGTCACAATAAATCGTTGGAGAAGAGTGAATTGGTACTGCTAGTTCACGGAGAAGATTGGTAATCCAATTCACTTCAGCGGTGGTAGCAGCAACGGCACGATATTCAGCTTCGGTAGAAGACCGGGCAATGGTAGATTGTTTCTTAGAGCTCCAGCTAATGGGATTAGAGCCAAGAAAGACAACATAAGCTGATGTGGAGTGTCGTGTATCAGCGTCTCCAGCCCAATCGGCATCTGCAAATGTGGTGCAATTGTTTATCGTCGGGCAGATTGCGCTATTAACAGTAGCTTGAATGCCAAGGAGCACAAAACGATCTTGACGAGTCCAAAGGAGATATCCAGGGTCATTTTTCGATGGACATGGATGAGTTCCATCAACAAAACCAAGAAGTCCATAACCGAAGAGGAGGTTGGTCATTTGGGACTTCCAAGATGCATAATTTCCGCCATTTTTTGCAAGTTTAAATGGAATCTGAGAAGAGGCATTAAGAGCTATCAGATTTCCATTGATGGGAAAAGAGTTGTTTTGAGCCGTGGTGTTCACAGGAGTTGATGCAATCACTAGTCCAGAATTAGTTGCTGAAGTTATTGGTGTTGCAGAGGACTCCGGGGATTTTTCCATTGTAGATGGCACTGCTGGGTTTTGAAGAGGGATCAGACTCTGTTCAGTTGACAGAGAGGCTCTGATACCATAAACAGTTTGGTGGAAATTTTCAGTATATTAACCATTGATTGGTATCAATATTTATACAACAGCAACCCATATAATCCCAGTAATTTAGGCTGTACAAAAGGAAAATGAATCACTCAAAATGGGAGGAGTATTACAAGCAGTAAATCTGTGTGCTAAATATGTGCTCGTAAATCTTTCCATAAGTGTGTGCTAAATCTGTGCTCTATCAGAGATAACCTCACTTCTGTCCTTTGCACCATTGGGCTATGTCCCAGAGGGCACAATGTGTACTTTATGGGTGCTATTGAAGGTGGACAATGTGAGCATATCAACTATAGGGATTGACACGATAGAGTTGTGGAAACGGTGTAGAATCGATCACGACTTGGTTAATAATCTATTTTACGTAGAATTTATTAAACTAAAAGAACATTTATAAGATCATGTAAAGCAAAGCGGCACACTTTTTATCACATTCAGACTTCACAAAGATTGCTACTACGTGTTATAATTCATTTTTTTTCTCTCAAATGTCAATAGAAATCCCAAAATAATTCAACTAGTGATTAAATAATTGAAAAAAATACATGAAATTCCTAACAATCATTCAAAACCAAATAAATATTAACCCATTGTTTGAGTCCCATTTTTTTTCATAGAAGTGAATTTTTGAATAGTGTATGATGGGAAATGTGTGATTAAAAAATAAGAAAATTTTTTGAATTTGTATGTAATATTATTTTATTGAAAAACGTGTGATTAAAATTATGTTAAAATACGGTTTAAAAATGTATTTTCCCCCCAAAAAATGGGGCTCCAATAGGGGTTAAATATCAAAGTCTAATATTTATTATCAAAACATCAAAATATAGGGTTTAACATCTATGCAATTAGTCGAGCATCATATGATTACAAAAATACGAAATAGATCGATCCATCTCACTCAAATTTAAAGTTTGGAAAGAAGAAGAAAAGAAATCTTAAAATCCTTGAATCTCTTTAATGGCTCCTTGATTAATCTATTGAATCTTCTTCTTCAACCCAACCAAAGATGTATGCAACTGATATGGATAGGTGTATCGAAAGCTTCTCTAAAGATTGAATGAATGTGCCCTTATATATATATATATATATATATATATGGATATGTTTATCGAAAGCTTCTCTAAAGATTGAATGAATGTGCCCTTATATATATATATATATATATATATATGGATATGTTTATCGAAAGCTTCTCTAAAGATTGAATGAATGTGCCCTTATATATATATATATATATATATATATGGATATGTTTATCGAAAGCTTCTCTATAGAGAAACTTTTATTTTAAGGGCACATTCATTCAATCTTTAGAGAAGCTTTCGTGCGTGTGTGTGTGTATATATATATATATATATATATATATATATATATATATATATTTCTTACAAGTTTTAGAGAAACTTTTATTTTAAGGGCACATTCATTCAATCTTTAGAGAAGCTTTCGTGCGTGTGTGTGTATCCAGTGGCTTCCTCTTTAAGCTTCTATTTTGTAAGATATATGCCTTCTATCCCAAGAGCCGCTTCATTAGATGGATGAAAGGT